CACAGGTCTCGGGTTAAAAGTTTTTCTTTAAGAGTTTGTTTTGATAACTTATTGTTAATTGTTTTGCATATTACTGTTCTGCAATTTTTTTTTAATTGTTTACTGCAATTATTTGTTATATAATTTAATCTGTTCTAATGTATAAATACGGTAACTGTTATAAAAATCGTGTTTAAGATATTTTGCATCAAGTTATAAATTGTAAATCTGGTATACAAAAATTGAAACAACTATCCTACATAACATTGCTTTAAAATGAATTTGATATTTATATTATTTTGTTGTTCCTAAAAAAGCACAAGTTCACAAATATAATATTTAAAATAATATTGTATTATTACTTTTGAAATGGTATAATACTTTTCATATTATATTTTTGAACATAATTTACTTCTAATTGTGCTTTCATGAAGAAACACAATTTACAATTCCATTAATATTCCTGAATAATATTATGTAGATTTTGAAAGGAAGACTTTATTATATTCTAATATTTCAGCGAAATATTTTTGTCCCATAAAGACATGATATTACAATTTCCCATAAAGACATGATATTACAATTTCAATATTTTACAAGAATATTGATTCATTGCTCTTAAAGACATGATATTACAATTTCAATATTTTGGAAGAATATTGATTCATTGCTCTTAAGGAAACAATGATTATTTTATTATACGCATAGTGATTATGTTTTTATTTTGTATGAATATTTGCTTGCGTTAATCAATTATGAAATCAAGACAATTCATGTTAATGGGAAAAGGCAAATTTTACGTTAATATATCTATTTTTTCAATTGAATTCGCGTTAATAAATTCAAGCAAATATGTTATGTGTTTCAACTTTCCTCCTAGTTAATTATCTCATTTTTCTTTGCTCATCGTTTGATTAATTATCTCGTTCATGTTCTTTTTAATATGAGTATAGTTTATGAATAAAGTACTCTTACATCTATCTATTATGAAATATGATTACTCCTGAAATAGCAAGCTATTAGTGATGGTTTTGTTAAATTTTACTTGCTCTCAAAGAACATAATTAAATAAATTCTAACATAAATTATATTTTTGCTCTCGAAAAGCACGACACTATGATTCCAATATTCCAAAAGAATATTCACATACTGCTTTTGGAGAAACAAATATATGACTCTTGAAGAGCTAATATTTTGAAATAGTAGTTCGTTCTTGTATCTGAAGTAGCACAATAGTATAATTAATATTCCAGAAGAATATTACTCGTTCTTGAAGAATATAAATTATAATTTTCAATATTTCAGGAGATTATTGACATATTACTCTTGAAATAGTAATAGTAAGCTATTCCATACGAAAGACTAGATGGATAATTGGGTTACAAATTAGCATATTCTACGAATAGGGTGAATTGACGGACACATATTTCTTTAAGTTATACTATGTAACCCAACTAATGAATATCGAAAAGAGTAAATGCTATCATCGGTGGTAATAGACCTCATCATTTATTAATATCGTTTATTTGTTCACTATTTACTAGACAAATAATTAAACATTTAAAGTTATTTTGACAATTATGAACTCATGTAGCACGAAACAAGCAATATTCTATAAAAATGAAAAATAAAAGCCTAAATCACGTTGATTTTATAAATACTTGCAAAATTAATCAATGCTCATTAATTCAAAGCCGATGAATATCGAAAAGAGTAAATGCTATCCATTATCAGTTAGGTAGCTAGCAATGAGTCACCTGCTTCATTATTCAATGAATTAAAATACATCAGAATTTCATTGGACAATGAATTAGGGAACTCATTGGCACCTACTGATAATGCATATCTACTAACTATACATAGCATTATTCTACTAAAAATTGTAACTGCACAAAAGTAATCAATTCCTATGAAATACTAAATTTGAATCAAGAAATTGGAGAAAACTCACAACTTATTATTTCTTAAACAAAATCGAAAGTAAATAAATATGTTGCGACTATGTGGTCTCAACGAAGTTATAAATACAACCCTTGAACACAATTAATTAATCCCATGTTTATTATAGATTGAAATCTTATTTTTAGTTGATTTTATAAAAAATGATGAAATTTGTGATTGAAAAGTTGTAAAATCCATGAAATGTATTATTAAAATTAAATTTTGGCTTTGACTCGAGAGTTTAATTATCAATTTATATCAAACAATAAATGAAAATATTAAAAATCGAATCAGGCATTGAGAAGAGGAAAACTTGTAGTAGTAATTCAATAATAACAACGTTGTGCTTAAATTGATAAAATCATAGTAAAATATTAAAAAGAAACTCATTCGAAATGTATCTTTCCATATCATGACTATGCGAAAAATTTAGAACAAATTAATTAAAGAGGTACATTAAGAAAATTTCAAGGTCCACCAGAAATACTCCCATTGAAGATCTCAATGGTATCACCTTGGCCAACTTGGTGCCACCTAAATGAACGATCATCATCCATCACATTTTGTTTGTAAATGAAGAAATAGCCCTCTTGAGGAAGATCCAACTGCAGCTGTTCGTTCAACTTGTGTAGCTTCTTCTTCATTTCCCCAACATTATCCCAAGAATTCATTTCAATTGGAATTCTTTTAGTCCCACATTTTGTCACAACGACAATCTTCAATTTTCTTGATCCATTACCCATATTCCCTGATGATCCTGATGAAGTTGTTGTTGTAGAAGATGATCGGAAACTGACGTCGATTTCTGAATTATCAGAAAGCTCGCAGTCTTGTAACGATTTTGAATCATGCAATTCAATCCCATTTGCATGGATAACCAATTTTGTAACAGGGATCCCTTCCATATCCTGGATTTTCTCCTTTAGCCTTCGGATTGTTTCTTTAACGTCCATTTCAAGCGCCATGCCGTGTTTTGACGCGGGCATTTTGATGAGGAGTTGGATCGTTGATCGGGAAAGTTCTCCGGCAACAAGCACCTGAATGTGGGACTGATCGAGGATATCCGAGTAGTGGACATTGAGTTCATCCTGTAGAACATTTCCATTGAAAACTAGGGTTTGTTTGGATATAGGGATTCCCTTCACCTTTTGGATTTTTTCTTTCATCTCTAGCACTGTGTCAAAGTAGCCAATTTCAATTTGGAATGCATTGCCACGGCTTGGTTGGAAGTTGATATCCATTGCTCAATGGTCACGGAGAGAGAGTGAGAGAGAAGGGGCGGGGTGGGTGGAGGCGCAACATAGTTTCAAGACGTATATATAAATAGTTGTAACAGTACCCGATATTACCTCAATTTGAGCTGATAAGGATTATCATCTTTTGAACCTCGTTTTGTGCATAATTTTTTTTAACTTATAAGTTATTATCTACTAATGATTTGCTGTAATAATTATTCACGCTTGTGTCCGTCACATGTTTCTTTATTTTGGATTGCCAGCTAAGCTTATAAAACTATATATATTTTTTTGGTTTTAAGGGTATGATTTTATGTTACAAATTTGAGTTCTAGAAATGATAGTTCTAATTTCGGAAACAGTATTCATGCTTGTGTCGACGACATGTTTCTTCATCTAGGATTGCTAGGCCTAGCTAAATTTCTTGTTTTGATTTCATAAACATCATTCACGCTTGTGTCGACCACATGCTTCTTCATCCTAAACTGCCAGCTAAGTTTATAAAAACACTTTTCTCGTTTTAAAGGTTTGATTTCTTGTAAAACTTTGAAAATGAGAGATGGCAGTTCTGATTTTGAAAATATTATTCACACTCGTGTCGATTTATTCATCTTGAACTTTTCTCATTCTAGAGGTTTGATTTCATGATACCATTTTCATCATGAAAAATCATATTTTTGATTTCGGGAATATTGTTCATGTTTATACAGGCTATGTTCCTTCATCTTCGTTTGCAAGCTATGTTTACAAATATGTGAAATTGGCGCAAATGGTCATCGACATATGGGGTTGCTATGCTTAGCACAAGCAGTCCTAACCTTTCAAGTAATGGGAAGAACTGGTACTTTGTATAATTTCCATCCAATTGACCCTTAAAATGGCAAACTTTTGACTAAAAGACTAAAATGCCATAACTTAAGTAAATAAATAAATAAAAAACTCCATTCTGCTAACCAATATACCACAAAAGCGTCCCTATTGGAACCATTTAAATCTACATGTACATGTTTAAGACAATTTCTGAATTTAGTTGAGCTGTAGAAAATATTTTCTTTTATTTTTTGCCACGTCATCTTGTAGTCCTTTTCAACTTGTATTAGTAAAGAATTTTTTAAACACATTCTATTTGCTTATATGACACAATTTTTTAAGTAATCCATGGTTGGTAGAATAGGTTGACTTTTATTTTTGTCTTAAATTATTTTTATTTTGTTTATTTAACTAAAATAAGGACATTTTAATCCTTATATTTAAATTTTGACCTATGTAACGATCAATTGGATGAGAACCATACAAAAAGAACCAATTGTGCGCATTATTACACAATCATTTATTCACAAACTTCGTGTTAGACTAATATCTTTCATTTATCTCATGGAAACCCTTGTCGCTCCGCTTATCTCCCTCTAGAGGATTTTAGTAATATATTCTGTAAGAACTAGACGAAAATGTAAAAATTGACAAACTTCCATATTTAACTGTAACAGAATATGCCAAGTTTGTATCGATATTATCTACACAAGTTTTCTAAAAAAGCACAAATATCTATGAAAGAATTCAAACAAACACTTAATTTTAGAAGTCTTGGTAATCTGGTTCGAGTATTGCCCAACAAATCGTTTACATGAAAATATGAACTTCTGAAGATTACACATTTAGAAGAATTTCGAATTCACGACAAATTGATCACTGAATAAGAAAAGAGCACACACCATAACAATGGTCATCAGGAAAGTACATATTTAATTCACTGAAAATAACATATAAATTGTTTGATACACAGCAACATTGTGAGCATTGCCTATGGCCATTTATCCACCATCCATTACCAGCATGAATAATCCATCACGATATCTTAATGTGAAGTACCAGGAAAATCTGATGATGACCATAATATGGTATTTCTCCATCAGAAACATGGTAGTAGAGAAGAAATCGGTTTCAATAACTGATTCCAACTACCTCCATGTAGAACCACCAAGTTTGATCACCTCCTCGGTGCCACTGGGCTTGCTAGGACCCTTGTCATTGCCTGCATCTGCCTTTTGATTGTACAGATCACCATATAGATCCCTAAGCTTGGCCAAATTACTGGATACAGGCATCTTTTCCTTGCTCACATCCATAGCAGGACTTGGACGATGCTGATTGCGTCCGCTAGGTTCATGCAAGCTTTCACTTTTGCTCCTGCTCCTGCTGCGGCTCCGACGATAACTGCTTTCTCTATGATATCGATCATCACGGCTACTCTTGTCATAGTCCCTTCTATAGCTCTCTCTAGAATTTCTATCATAATCATACCTCCTGTCTCCTCCCCGCTCTCTATTCCTTTCCCTGTGCCTGTCTCCAACTCTGTTCCTGCCTCTTTCTTGATACTTATCACAATTTTGGCCATTGGAAAGATCTCGATCCCTGCCTCTATCCCTGCCTACATATTCTTGATCAGATAAATTGTGACTCTGGCTCCGACTACTGCTGGGGGACTTTCTTGAATTGTTTTCCCTATCATACGAAGATGGCAGCTGCGTACGGCGAACTGGAGATGAACCCCTGGTTGATGCACGATGAGGAGCACGCTGACCAAAGGAAACAGAAAGTGAAGCTTTAACAGAAGGTGGTCTCCTGGAAGTCTCCTCAGACCCACGGGTAGAATCTCCAGTGACACCACAATGTTTAGTAGGCAGCTTCATATTTTCAAGGTTGGTTACAACAGTCCGTAAAACAGGAAGCGGAATGCGGGGTAAAAGAGTGTCAAAGTAATACTGAAATGAAAAATGAATAAATAAAAATAAATTGTTAGAACTTGTATGAAGGCCAAGTTGAGATGCTATGCAGCATGCATTCATCGTCTAATAATTGGAACAACCTCCAGCAGAAGAAGTATATTAATCCCCTGTTTGCTACCGATTAAAATTTGGATTTTAATCAAAATCAAAGTTAACAAATAATTTTGACCACATATTTCACGAGTCCCACAACTTTTCAACCACACATTTCATCAACTTTTATCAAAATCTATTAAAACTCTGATTTTAATGCCCATCAAACAGGGGATTATAATTTCTAAGTAGCAATGGACTATGATAAATTAGTCACTATTAGCGGTGCATTCAATCCCACATATCAAAACTGTTTTAAAACTGAAATGAACTGTATCAAAAAGATTTCAAGAAAACTCCATCTCTCATCTCCTATACACAAAACAATAGTTCAGCAAAAGGAGATCTTTCAATAGCAAGAGCATAAGAGCAATAAAAACAGTGAAAACAAATTACTTGCTAAATTATAGAAGAATATTATAGATCAACCAAAAATATTGGTCATTGCTGTTGTATCCAACCTACACTAGTGATCAGGTCCTTAGTCAATGTAACTAACTTAAAAAATAATATTTATATGTTCGCGGAAATTTCGGAAACATTAACCAAACATAGCGCCTAATACACATTTACACTGTCACTGCATTCTACTAAGAGGATTAGAATGAATGACGGTAAACCAGAGAAACAGCATAAGTTATCTGTCACATTCATAATTAAAATCAGTAAGCGGCAGCTAACCTGTCCAAGAAGCAAGTCGCGTATATACACACCTATTGTGGTCATTTGGCCATTGGAACCTGGAGAGAATTCCTGAAATAGAATTTAAAGTATCCACGAGAATAAGCTTCAACTAATAGATGAACTTGAACTAGAATTAAATTTTGCAGGTAAATAAACAAAATTCAAGACCATAGTTGTACAATCAAGTCTTATAGAGCTCTCTGACCATGGCTTCTTACCACTCAGGAAAATTCTGTGAATTATAGGAAGAAATATTCCTAGGTCTACGTATATAGTTGCATCTGATTATCAAAGACCATATCAAATCTAGAGCCTCAACCCCCAACAAAAAATAAAATAATCACAAAAGATAACTAATACATGTCTAACAACCCTAAGGGGTTACTCAATTGGTCAGGCCTTGGGTTTGCTTCCCAGTGGTCACTAATTCGAGTCCCTTCAGGGCCACTGAGGTGAGTACCCGACCGTAAACTTCAGGGCCCCGTGGAATTAATCGAGGTGCGCGCAAGTTGGCCCGGACATCCACGGTTATCCAAAAAAAAAAAAATACATGTCTAACTGCGTTCGGAAGGAAAATAAGATTTTTAGTCAATTCATGTTTTATCACACAAAAGCAGTTCACCTTTACAAGAATCATGTTGATGACCACTGAGGAACTGTGAAACCCTTCCATCCTGAGCCATCAGGAGAATCACAGAACAGAAGATTCATGAATCATATACAAATTCTGTCCACAAATAACCCATAGAGAAAGATGGTAATGTCACTAGAAGGCAGTGAAAGATAGCGTAGTAACTAAAACCCTGCATGAAATTAGCATCAAGAGAAATAGTACAACATAACAGTGATAGCAGGTCAAGGATGAACTTCTATTATGCATATGATAGTGTAATTCAACTGACATATTTGATTAACTAGCCAAATATCAACTTATGCAATCATGCAAAACATGCAGACCACAATACCCTATTAGTGAAGGGGAACATGCCAAAAAAAATAATGGTGGATGAAAATAGAAAGAAATGAGGACAATTTGAGACAGCAACGTTCCTCCCAGATCTCACAATTTGACTACAATAATCAAATATCTCCACTAGATGTTACATCCATAAACCACATCACCATTAAGCAATTCATCTTAATTAACCTCATTATCAATACTTTTCCTTCAAAGGTAATTCCAACTTAAAGAATGCTGTCCATTCTGCTTCGATCAAGGACACAGAATATGTCGTATTATTATTATTATTACTTCAAATAAGAGAACAACTCATATTAAAACTTAAAACAATAAAAATCATTCAGGCAACCTTTTATACCTCGTCATCCTTTAGATATGGTTCATACCAACTCCACAATGTCTTTGGATCTGCAACATATCTTAAGTAAAGAAACCCAATCTGCAAAGACGATGTACAGTTAGCCCCTCCGCATCAGATGCTT